ATCTTTGTTCACACAACGAATAATCGACCGTCTGATCTGGTGCAAAGTTTTAGCTGCAACGCGACATTTTGCTTTGACCTCTTGATGAGTGTTTGTGGGATAATGTCGTTTGATAATTAAATAAACACCGGTGATGGGTGGATATTTCTGAACTGTGCTACTATTCACGTCGAATAAAAATTCTAATAGTGGCCGACCATCGTCGTCGTCGTTCAGCAACCATTTCAAATATGGATGTTTTCCTATAATGAATGATTATTTTGCAATAGTTGTACGGAAGCTTAATAATATGACTCGATGAAGAGTTGAGACTGCTCTATATGATCACATTGAAGTTTTTTGAGGACAATTTTAGATTGAAAATACTTCACAACTGTTTTTCGTTCATATATACTAGTTCTACTAAATGCCTTTTACAAATGATCGTTAAAGTTGGCTTAGTGCGGGACTTCTTGTAAAATCTTTGTATCTCAGCGAAAAACAGTTGTGGAGAGTTGCGGAACATCTCGAATTGCTCAGAACTGAATTCGTGTGACATGTTCAAATATGCTTCACAAAATTTCGGATTTTTGCAGATCTTGTAGACACCTTCCAGAATTCTTTCTGAGTTTTAGCTCAAGTTTTCCCACGTTTCTGCGTTTGTTCAATTTTTTACGCTCTTTCAGTTGATAGTTGCTTTGGAAAAAGTAATCTAAGAACAGCTAAAATTTCAATTTCACAGTAAAGAAATAAAACTAAGAATTCTGTTTTTAAAATAAAACCTGAGACATATTGTCCAAGATCATATTTTTAACAAAAATTTCAATCTAAAACTATCCTTAAAAAAACATTTCTTACTCAAAACTCTTACGTAAAACACAAGATTGTCTCGAAGTCCTACATAATGAATTTTTAAAAATTTTTTGCGATTGCTATAGAAAAGAGCACAGTTCAAAACCCTTCCGAACCAAGTTTTATTAAGGATACCTCCGCACAGTGGGCATTCAGGCGGATATTTGTTCAAAAACGCGAAGTTTACTTTTTCTTGATTTAAAGATCATTCTATAAACTTCAACTGATGACCCATATAATGGCAAAAAAATTTCTGTACAAAGCAGTTTCCTTACGGAAAAAACGTTAGCTGGAAAATTCTCGCTATAGTTTGCTAGCTACTTGGAAAGAGTTAATTTTCTAACCGTAGATTTGGGTTTAGATCCAATCTGGGAGTATATTCGAATCAGCAAAATTGGGCTATCTACTGCTATCGCAATATTTTCCCTTATGCATTCAAATCAAAAAAATGTTAACGTTTTTCCATAAATACTGCTTTTCCAAAATGTGTACTCAGTACAAAGAGTTTCCCCAGCTTGTAGAACCTTCATCTTTTCCCAAAGGGGGGTTTATGACCACCTTTATCTATGGTATTAGCGCAAAATAGCGCAATCTTAACTGGAGTTTTAGAGAGGTTTTCCAAAATCCCTCGGTTTTTGATATAAACTGACCTTTTCGCACTCAAAAAAAACCTTTTTGCTACATGATGTATATATATTCGGAATCACCGTGAAAAACTACATCGAATGATATATAGTTCGTTAGTTTTACAAATAAAACATTTTTTGACAAAAACTCAGGGCAGGGGTCCCCCCTAACGAATAATTTGTCGAAAAATTTTTTTTCGAATTCGACCTTTTTTACTTCTCCTAATATCTGACACATAGTAAGACCATATTATGCTAAAATAATCATTTTTTAACTCAAAAAAACAGATGTCCGCCTGCTCTATGGAAGAATGCCAACTGTTCTCCGCCCCCCCTCCTTCTTTTTTCATCGTGTTGCCCAAATGTAGAGGACACGTCCGATTGAGTTCAGATTTATAGCAGAGATAGAACATCGAAAAAAAAATCGATGTATTTCTGCCCAGAATTTTCTGACGTGTTGTCCTATGGGTTTTCTAGAAAACGCCACTTTTCGTCCAGTCACATTACGACCCACGAAAAAATGGTTCGATTTACTACAGATATTTTAGACCTTATCTCAGAATTTTAATTTTTCTTTTCGCAAAATATGCTGTTCTTCTCGAGATATTCATAAAATCCTAAAACTTGAAACCGGTATTGAAAACCGGTTTTTGATTTTAAAAACCTTCTCACACCGAAAGTCGAAATCGAATACACTTAAAAAAATTTTTACTTCTGAGATAGGGTCTGGAGTATCTATGGTAAAAATTTGAGCTCGATCGGACCATTTTTTTGAGGAGTCGTAATGTGACTGGATTGAAGGGACCATCGAAAAAACGCATAGTGAAAAAAACACATATTATATACAAGGCTGTGTATTTTAGGGCATTTGCAGCAATGCTTATATCTCCACGAAAACTCACCTCACTTTCTTCTATCATGCTATGAATAAGAAACTTAAAAACTTTATCATGGAAGTGGTCTCATTTTATAGCTCAGACTTTCCTCTACATTAGCTATGTTCAGCTCAAAATGACAACGTTTCTGCAAAACGAGAGAGAAGGGGGTACCCATAAATGTCTAGCAGCGATTCTACAGATAGTTTTCTGGTGAAACACGACTATTCTATCTAGGGGTGGCACGTTAGGTTTGTTTTACTTGTAACTAGTAGCGAACTTAGTTATTCTTTACTAGTAATGAGTAAGTACTGTCGTTACTTCGTTACTTGTTACGAGTAACTCATTCGTTGCTTAGTTACTTCGTTACTTTCGTCACTTTCTGGTGGAGTAATGGAAGTAACGCAGTAACTAAGTAACAAAATGAGTTACTCGTTACTAGTAATGAAGTAACTAAATTCGTTGGTTTACCTGGTAAAGTAACGTCGAGTAACTAGTAAAGTGCCAACCCTAATTCTATCGCTTCTGCTACCTACTCATGAGCATAGAAAAAGCTGGAATAAACAAAAAGAGATACATTGTTATATCCGTGAAACGCCCTACAATCATTTCATCTGTTCAATTTTGCATGCTACATGAAACATAAATGCATGAGAATAAATATTTGATATCTTTTTTATCTACTTAAGAAAAAGAATACGCTTATGATCTAAATTCCTTCACTACACGACATTATGTAGACCATCATACTAGATCGCTTTTTCACTTACAGTGAAACGAATATCGTTATCTCAGTTCTTCAATGTTACTAAACTAGCACAAAAATTCACTGTAATACTTGGTCATTACCGAGACGCTTTGATATGTGATATTTGATTTTATCATTTAACGGCATTTCTGTTCTCGACTTCCATTCCATTCGAATTTGTTTTACTACCAACTGCAGATTGGGCATGACTTGTCTCAAAAATGTTCGATGCATTGATCTCAATTTAAAATAAAGATGATTGGTGATAAATTTTTCATGCTGAAGATGTTTCTCGAGTTTAGGTAGAATATATTTGCGACTGCATAGTAGAATTTCGTCGATCGGTGGTGCATGCCATACTTTCATGGGAGTTGTGTCTACAATATAATCGATAAGCTTCGGGCAATTATCGATATCTCTCAAGTGTTCATATTGCTCCGAATATTCGTTGATAATATCTCGCGCCAGCTGACGATATCGGTCCTTTTGTTCCTCATCTACCTCTTTTGGCACTTCTTCATGAATAGATTCCGGTTCTTCTTCGGGAATATGGATGACTGGCTTTGATAAAATGGATGTTGCCTTCTTTTTTCGAGACTTTTTAACAGGTCTTGGTGCTGGTTGATAGTACTGTTCATCATCACTAGTGATATCAAAACCATTTTCTTTATCTCCCGTTGTCGATTGTTTGGTGCTATTTACCCAAGTACATATTTCATCAAACGAAGGTAAACGTTGGTGTTGGCTCAAGTGACAATTGGTGAGAATGATATCTCGCCAGTTTCGTCTCAAATATTTTGATATTTTAATCAAACCTTTATCCGATGATTTCATCTTTAATAAATAAAACAAACTTGTATCATTTCGTAACATAAAAGACAAGTTTTTCTTGAAAAAGTTTTTACAGGAAGGACGTAATCTACACAAAATTTCGAGTTTATTTCTCTTCCTCAAAACTATCTACACTTCGTTTTATAATAAATAGTAGAATATTTAACTGAACTGTCAAGAATTTAGTGAACGATGAATTGAAAAACATTCCAGTTGATCATCACAGAAAGGATGAGAACCTATGACAGCTATATTAGTAGGGGTGGCACTTCACTAGTTACTCAGCATTACTTTACCAGGTAAAGTAACAAAGTTAGTTACTTCGTTACTAGTAACGAGTAGGTACTGTCGTTATGAGTAACTCGTTTTGTTACTTAGTTACTCCACCGGAAAGTAACGAATTTTTCGTTTTTTGGATATCCAGCTTATTGGGATCTACGATTCTTTACTACTGTCCATTACAAAAATCTGTGCACGTAGCCATTTTTTTGAATAACTCGAGAACGATAATAGACAGAAACCTGCGATTTTCACCGCTCGATAGTCAACATCCAGCCGCATCTTTTTGCAAAATGAAAACATTGCAGAATTTCATTCGAAAATCCGGATTTTCAGGAGATCTATGAAAAACCAGCTCGCTTCTCTGAAGATCGACATAGGAATCTATGCATTTTTTCCATAGATACATAGTCCGAAGTTTTCACTACAAAACGGGATCCAAGCGACATCTCGAAAATCGATGGTTCGGGAGCTATGGACGTTTTTCCTGATGCCTTAGGACTGCTGTGCCGTTACGTTTGAAGGTGTCAGAAATGAATGAAAAGATAGGTTATCGACTATGTTGAATCTCCTGGCAATGTTAGTTTTCAGCAGAAAATGCAAGAATCGAGTAAAACCTATACTAGGTGAAATAATCCCATTTTTGATTATTTTCATCAAAAATTAAAATATTCATAAACCCGTCAAAAACCCATGTAACCTACTTCACAATGTCAAGAAATACTCCATTTTATCTGCAACATACTATACCGTAACGCTCAATAAATGGTGAAAAAGCAAACAAAAAATACCTTGGTTTCTAGAAAGGTTTCAGAGAAACGCTCGGAACTAAGAGAATATTTTTTATTGATTTTAAGTACAGAATCAAAGAGCGGATAAATTAGAGTATTTCTTGACATTGTGAAGTAGGTTAGATGGATTTTGACAGGTTTATGAATATTTTAATTTTTGATGAAAATAATCAAAAATGGGATTATTTCACCTAGTATAGGTTTTACTCGATTCTTGCATTTTCTGCTGAAAACTAACATTGCCAGGAGATTC